CGACCAGACCACAAGCGATAACTCAATGAAGTGGCTTAACGTGTGGAAATGTATGCCATTAGCCTAATACTCTAAACGCGTGATGGTGACTCTAAATGTGGAGGGAAAAATCGACACGACCCCGGGGAGAACATGCACTATTCTTAAGCGAGGACACGCCCCGTACCGCCATCCTACCCGTCAACTCACCTCATCGCACTCTTCCACCGTACAAATGGCTCATTCTTTGTTCGGCGCCTTCGTCAAGGCGCTGCATAAATGAAAATAAGATGAGATGCAGCGACGCGCGGGCGCGTTCGTGTCTATCCTCCAAAACGTATTTTATTTTTACTCTCAAATTCTGGTTGTGCCGTCAATAGGTGACGTTGCAGAACTACTCCCCTGACATTGCTTCATCGTCATCATCGTCGTCATCCATGCTCAATTCGCTGCTCGATGAAGTCCTACCACCCCCACAAGCCGCCTCTGACGATCCTGCGGTCGCAACGTTTACCCGGCGAATGCCGGTTCACTTCAGTTGGGCCTCTTAGCCAGGACTTTACGTGAAGGAGTGACACAAATGCGCACCACGTTTTCTCATTGAAAATAGGTACATTTCTAAATATCACCGTCCTGGTCACAAAAGCAAAGTTTGTGGGGAATAATAGCCATTTTCTGTACTTTTGAGGCATAAGCAATTAGAAAATAACACTTAACTACCCAGGAACAACATTTAAAAAAAGAAAATTGTTACACAGTGATTTTATCATTGAGACCGAGTGTCGTCGCTGTGTTTTCCAGGAGACTAATTTGCAGGGAGATTTCGTTTTTTCAAATGCATGTGCCCTGAATAGAGAATGTGTGTGGATGTCGTGTAGGGGAGCGGTGGTGCAGCGGTTGTGTTCTTTCGCACCATATGTAGCCAACCGTGCTCTACGAACCTGGCGACTCGGGTTCCATTCCAACCTCACGGTCAACATTGTTATCTGAAACCGGTCCTGGGCCTCCCCTAGGTCGACTCGGCCTCAAATGAGTACCTGGTGCGGTGTGTAAACATCGCCACTGGGGAGACAAAGGCGGTCGGGCGTGGTGCTGGTCCCCCCTCGTGTGCTGTTCTGGCCTTCATAGGTGCTACTCGATAACAGCACTTGCCCCCACAACCGACTGTTCAGGCTATGCGGGTGACCTTTGTCTTTTTGCGTCACATGTCGCTTGCATCAACACTATGAATCTATTCCAATGGCTTCCGTCAATGGTAAGGCATTGTAAACAGAAACATGTATGCAGGCGGAAACTAACAAGCGTAATAAGAACACACGCTGAAGGTGATTTACAGGCGGCAAAATGCGCGGTTCTGACCGCAGTATCAGTGCTCCTATCGTGCCTTGCATGCCACCTGACTTCCCCCCCTACTGTGTGTACAGTTTCATGCACACATCCTGTATTAGGCCACTGACTCGAACCGCAATTTTTCGCAAGATTCTCGGAGCTTAAATTGTCAGAACTGAGTGTCCAAATAAGTCGATGTGGTCATCGGCTCGCGACGGCACTGCAACCGTTCCGAGTCCCGTTTCATTGCAGTTTCATTCAAGGAGTGTGACCAAAACTTGATGAAGACGTTTTCGTGAAAAAGAAAACTATGAAATAGAGGTGGCTGGGTGGTTCATAGGGCACATAATAGCCGTGTCGGATACACTGAGTAGTCTCCAGTGATATTCTGGAGTCTATCCATAGGTCAAATGCAGTCTATGCATATGATCTAGCCATATCATACAGACAGAGACATCTGTCCATATCTTTCCACGTCCTGTGGAGTCTATCCATAGACACCTATGGAGTTTAGCCAAAGGTCTATCCATAGGTCAAATCCATAGATTCTGGAGTCTATCCATAGGTCAAACCACTTTTGGATTTCCCACAAAAGGGAGTACTTAATTGATTGACCCCGAACGAACGATGGGCTGAGTCAAGCCCTCCCAACCACGATTCGAACTCGCACACTTGCGGTTGCGAGCCACTCGCCCGACCGCCGTGCCACCTGACCGGGTGTGGTTGAAGTGGCTCGGTGTGGACCCGGACAAAGTGGGCGAGCGGGCAAACCGTACGCGTCTCCTTCACTTTTACGACTCGCCGCTTGGGGGGGGAAAAAAAAAAATAGAAAAATTACACAACCCATCCTACCCCCACGGCCTGCTGGGAGTGCGTCATTTCAGCAGCGTTGGACTCATCACGGCACGGAAAGTCCTCGCTTAACGCGCGGTGTTCACACGGCGACACGTTTCCGCTTCAACGTGCTTCTTCCGTTGGGGAGCACTTTCAGCGCAACGCGCCGTTGCGACGTGGATCACGCCCCGTTGTAACGCTGATTCTGGGCGCTCGACGACGAACTACTTTCCCGAGCTGCGCGGTTGAACGGTGCAGTTATACAGCAGTCGGAGTGATACGGCAACGCGGCGGCGGCGGCGGCGTACCCTCAAGCTATTTGTCCCGCACATCGCACTGCGCGATGATCGTAGTAGTAGTAGCGGTAGCGGTTTGCTTTGCGCGTTTTCCGCTGAACGCAGCTCTTTTTCAGGAACGCATTCGCTTACCGCGCTGAACGAGGAATTGTGCTGTATAGCCACACGCAGCGGCACAGTCGGGCTCGCTTGAATCAACGCCCGGTGAACTGCCGGCTGTTGTTGGTCCGGGACCCCTCTCTTCACGATTGCGGGTCCCCCTAGCCCCTGGTGTTGACGTGGGTCCTCGGTGTCACCTGCCGGGGCTCTCTTCCATGAACGATTATCTTCACCTCGGTCGCGTAGCGGTTAACTCGCCGTCCTGGGCCTCCCCCTAGGTCGACTCGGCACTAAATGAGTACCTGATCACGTCGTTTGAACGTCGCTGGATGTGTGTTGGGGGGGGGGGGAGACAAAGGCGACCGGGCGTGGTGCTGGCCACGCCGTGCCCTCTTGTGCCGTGCCAGTCCCCGTAGGTGCACTTTGACCCGACAGCCTGCGTAAGCTGTACGGGGTGGGGGCGGGGGGGGATTTTTGGCGTTTTTGTTTAAATAAATAAATAAATGTGACGCGTCATCCACGAAGGGGAGTTCTGCATTGTCGCAACGTAAATGGCACCGTAGCCTGGCATCCAGTGTGAGTGTCACGCCCACTCTTATCCGAGTCTCAATCCCACTGATCTAAAGTTTCAATCCCACTGGTCTGAGTCTCAATCCCACTGATCTGAGTCTCAATTCTACTCTGGACTGAGTCTCAATCCCACTCTGATCTGAGTCTCAATCCCACTCTGATCTGAGTCTCAAACCCACTCTGGTCTGGAGTCTCAATCCCACTCTGATCCGTGTCTCAATCTCACTGACCTGAGTCTCAATCCCACTGATCTGGGTCTCAATCCCACTCTGATGTGAGTCTCAATCCCACTCTGATCTGAGTCTCAATCCCACTCTGATCTGAGTCTCACTGTGCTCGCTGAGCATGAACCATGCTTCTGTGGTACCATGTGCTTGTTATTTGTGAGTTAGCGTTGTTCACCTTTGTGGCTTGTAATCTGAATTTTCCGGAGCTGGGAACAGTGTGGCTAATGGTGGGCACGCGTGCAACGTTTAACAGCTCTGCTGCTGCCGATGATGGTGCTGATAGTGGTTGGTGGTGGTGCTGCTGATGGAGGTAGCAGTGGGTGATGGTGGTGGCAGTAGTAGTGGTGGTGATTATTTTGGTGTTTCCATTGGTCTGGTCTAAGTGGGGAGCGGTGGTGTAGCGGTTAGCGCTACGCTGCGCTATGAACCCGGCGACACGAGTTTGATTCCCGCTCACGGCCAACACCAGTGACGATTATCTGAACTGGTCCCGCGCCTCCCCTAGGTCGACTCGGCCTCAAATGAGTACTTGGTGCGGTGTGTTAAACATCGCCACTGGGGGAGACAAAGACGGCCGGGCGTGGTGCTGTTCCGGCCTTCATAGGTGCTCGCTGACAGCACTTGCCCCTACAGTCTATTAAGGCTATACGGGGGGGATCTGTATCTTTGTTCCCATTGGTGTTGATAGTGGTGCTAGATGGTGGTGGTGGTGCTGCTGATAGTTACGGTAGTGATACAGAAGGGGGTGGTGCTTATAGCGGTGATGCTGGTGCTGATAGTGTTGTTGGTGGTGCTGAAGTGGTGGGGTGCGGTGGTTAGCGCTACGCTGCGCTACGAAACCCTGCGACCTGAGTTCGATTCCTGCTCACGGCCAACACCGACGAAGATGATCTGAACCGGTCCTGCACATCCCCTAGGTCGACTCGGCCTCAAATGAGTACCTGTTGGGGGGGGGGGGGGTGTAGTAAACATCACGTGGTGTTGGCCGTCCCACTCGCGTGCCGTGCCGGCCTTCATAGGTGCTGCTCACTAACAGCACTTGCCCCTGCAGTCTGTTAAGGCTACCCCCCAGGGTGGTGGGGGTGAGGGAGCAATATTTGTCTTTGGTGCTGGTGGTGGTGCTGGTGGTGCGTGGTGGTGCTGCTGTGGTGCTGCTGTGGTGAGCGTGCCCTTTGCCACCGCTGGTGATGCCAGCGGAGGAAGCTGCCGCTGCGCTCCCTGCTGGAGCTGTTGCTGCTGCTCAGAATCAAGAACCTTTATCCTGCAGGAATCTGATGCGCCATAAAGCTCCTGCTGCTATTACAGCAGCAGCAGCAGCAGCCGCCGCCGCTGCTGTTTCAGCTGCTGCTGCTGTTATCACCGCAGTTGCCATTGGCCGCTGCCATTGCTGCAGCCGCTGGTCTTGCACTCGCTGCGACTGCTGCTGTGCCCGCTGCTTGTGATGCCGGACCGCGCGTGCGTGCGTGCGTGCGTGCGTGCGCAGGACGCACGCACGCACGCACGCACGCACGCGCCGATGGCCGCCCGAGCGCCAGCGCTAGGGAGGTGACGTAATGCTCCGAGCAGCAGCGGTCGCTGAGCTCATCGGCGAGAAAATCCGCACAGGATCCCCCGCTAGCGGCCATCCCCCCCCCCCCACCTCTATCCCTCCCCCCCCCCCTCCTCATCCAGCCCAGATCTTCTCCCGGACACTCCCTCCACTCGCAACAACCGAGCACAGCTGCTCTCTCCCCTTCATCATCACCGTCCTCGTCGTCAGCGTCTGCAGCATCTTCAGCATCATCCTCATCGTGGTGCTGCTGGTGGTGGTGCTGGTGACCTTTGTCACGTAGATCAGTTGAGCCGGGCGGCCGCTGGAGTGAAGGTTTTAATCTGAGGCTGTGGTGGCGGCGGTGGTGGTGGTGGTGGTGTAGGGAGGGAGGAGCGAGGCTACCGCGTTGTAGGTGTGGTGCCGTTTGCAGCAACAGAACAGGAGAGGCGATTGCCGAAGCTGTAAAGGGGGTAGGGGGGGGGGAGGTAGTTGTGCAGCGGTAGCGGGGAGCGAGGAGGAGGAGGAGGTGGAGGCGTCGCTCTGATGCTGGAGCTGGGGCTGTGCGGGGTGCCAGCGCAGGTGCTCGGGGTGGTGCAGGGCGCACTGTGTCGCAAAGGTGAGCGGCACGCGCCCCCTCCACCCCCGAAGCCCCCCCCCTCCCCTCCTCATCCTCATTCGGATAATCATTTTCCTGATTGTCGTCCTCCTCATCCATCCTGATCATCATCATCATCATCAGCCTCCTATTATTCCTCATCCTTGTCATCTTCATCGTTTTATTCTTTCTGGTCATTATCATCATCCTCCTTATCATCCTGTTATTCCACCTCGCCCTCCTGATCATCCTCCACCTTATCCTCATCGTCATCATCCTCCTATTCCACCTGTTCCCCTCCTCTCCCTCCTGTTCCTCCGTGTCATCTTCCTATTGATCTTCCTCATCATCATCATCTTAATGCTTCCCTCCATAAACTACCACCAACACCTCGTCACACAGACAAACTCGCAGAACAACGGACGGGTGCTAGCCGCTGTCATCCATCCGTGTGTACGTCGTGGGAAACGCCCAGTGTGGTGCCTCTCTCTCTCTCTCGCCCTTTCTCTCTCGCTCTCACTCTCTCTCGCGCTCTCATTCTCTCGCTCTCTCTCACATCTCAGCATCCCAGGGTTTCCTCCACCGTCACACCACCAACACCACCACCACCACCGTAAGATAAAAGCAATTTTTTGTGTTATTAAAATTATTTCTGGTTCATTCATTCGTGTTTTTTTTTTACGGGATTTTTTCTTATTTTATGGCATCATTCTGTGCTGCGGGGGGGGGGGGGGGGCATACCACTGTGCTGGTTGCAGGGTGGGGCAGGCGGTCGGACGGGTGGGTGAATGTGTGAGGCGTCGTCTGTGCGGGTGTACTTGTACGGGTGTACTTGTACGGTTGTGTGGTTGCGTGCGTGTGGGGAGCGGCGGTGTAGCGGTTAGCCGCGCCGCGCCACGATCCGCCCCGACCCGAGTTCGATCCCCGCTCGAGGCCGCCACCCAGTGACGCTTATCCGAACCGGTCCTGCTCCTCTGCTTGGTGGACTCGGCCTCAAATGAGCACCTGGTGCGGTCTGTAAGGACGTCGCCACTGGGGGAGACAAACGCGGCCGGGCGTGGTGCTGGCCACCCACCCCGTCGTGCGCCGTGCCGGCCTTCACAGGTGCTGCTCGCTAACAGCACTTGTCCCGACAGTCTGTTAAGGCTATGCGGGGGATCTTTGTCTTTGCGGGGGCGGGGGGGGGGTGTATGTGTGGGGAGCGGTGGTGCAGTGGTTCACGCGCTGCGCTACGAAGCCCGGCGACCCGAGTTCGACTCCTGCTCACGGCCACCAACACGAGGGGGCGGTTATCTGAACGGGTCGTGGTCCTCCCCAAGGTCGACTCGGCCTCAAATTGAGTATCTCGTGTGATGCGTAACTACGTCGCCACTCGGCCCGCCGGGCGTGGTGCTGGCCACCCACCCCATCGTGTGCCCTGCCGGCCTTCATAGGCGCTGCTCGTAAACAGCACTTGTCCCCAAACAGTCTAAGGCTATACGGGGGAGGGGTGGGTGTCTTTGTCTTGCTTCTGAACAATTGCTGAGTACAGGACCAATGGCCCAACATGTAAAGCGGCCAGCAATAAACAGCGCAGTCGCAGTTGTAGTAGATAAGAGTGCGACGCGCCTCCTGGAAATTGAGCAACGTTTTTTTGTTATAAGATCTCGGGGAGATGAGGCGACAGGAGAGGATTCCAAATGCGAGGAGAATGGCAGAAGCGGAACGAGAAACGTTGCGACCTGCAGTGTGGTGAGCGGGTGGGTGAGGGCTGGAGTGAGTGAAGTGTGAGTGAGTTGCGTCGTCGTGACCTGCGGTGTGGTGAGCGGGTGGGTGAGGGCTGGAGTGAGTGAAGTGTGAGTGAGTTGCGTCGTCGTGACCTGCGGTGTAGCAGGCGGGTGTGTTAGTGAGTGAGATGGTGAGTACCTGGTGCGGTGTGTAGCAAACATGGTCAGTATGGAGACAAAGGCGGCCAGGCGTAGTGCTGGCCAACCACCCCCTTGTGTGCCGTGCCGGCCTTCACAGGTGCTCGCTTAGCAGCACTTGCCCCTGCAGGTCTGTTAAGGCTATACGGGGAGCTTTGTTGTAACCTTCAGGATGGTTGGTGGGTGAGTGAGTGTTATGACCTGCAGTGTGGTGGGTGGGTGAGTGAGTGAGTGACCTGCAGTGTGGTGGGTGGGTGGGTGAGTTGTTGTGACCTGCAGTGTGGTGGGTGGGTGGGTGGGTGAGTGAGTGAGTGACCTGCAGTGTGGTGGGTGGGTGGGTGAGTGAGTGAGTGAGTGACCTGCAGTGTGGTGGGTGGGTGGGTGAGTTGTTGTGACCTGCAGTGTGGTGGGTGGGTGGGTGAGTGAGTGAGTGACCTGCAGTGTGGTGGGTGGGTGAGTGAGTATTGTGACCTGCAGTGTGGTGGGTGAGTGAGTGAGTGACCTGCAGTGTGGTGGGTGGGTGAGTGAGTATTGTGACCTGCAGTGTGGTGGGTGAGTGAGTGAGTGTTGTGACCTGCAGTGTGGTGGGTGGGTGTGTGAGTGTTGTTGTGACCTGCAGTGTGGTGGGTGGGTGAGTGAGTGACCTGCAGTGTGGTGGGTGTGTGAGTGAGTGTTGTTGTGACCTGCAGTGTGGTGGGTGGGTGAGTTAGTGACCTGCAGTGTGGTGGGTGGGTGAGTGAGTGAGTGACCTGCAGTGTGGTGGGTGGGTGAGTGAGTGTTGTGACCTGCAGTGTGGTGGGTGGGTGAGTGAGTGACCTGCAGTGTGGTGGGTGGGTGTGTGAGTGACCTGCAGTGTAGTGGGTGGGTGGGTGAGTGTTGTGACCTGCAGTGTGGTGGGTGGGTGGGTGAGTGAGTGACCTGCAGTGTGGTGGGTGGGTGAGTGAGTGACCTGCAGTGTGGTGGGTGGGTGAGTGTTGTTGTGACCTGCAGTGTGGTGGGTGAGTTGTTGTGACCTGCAGTGTGGTGGGTGGGTGAGTGAGTGAGTGAGTGTTGTGACCTGCAGAGTGGTGGGTGGGTGAGTGAGTGACCTGCAGTGTGGTGGGTGGGTGAGTGAGTGTTGTGACCTGCAGTGTGGTGAGTAAGTGAGTGAGTGTTGTGACCTGCAGTGTGGTGGGTGGGTGAGTGAGTGACCTGCAGTGTGGTGGGTGGGTGGGTGAGTGTTGTGACCTGCAGTGTGGTGGGTGGGTGAGTGAGTGTTGTTGGGACCTGCAGTGTGGTGGGTGGGTGAGTGAGTGACCTGCAGTGTGGTGGGTGGGTGAGTGAGTGAGTGAGTGTTGTTGGGACCTGCAGTGTGGTGGGTGGGTGAGTGAGTGAGTGACCTGCAGTGTGGTGGGTGGGTGAGTGTTGTGACCTGCAGTGTGGTGGGTGGGTGAGTGAGTGTTGGACCTGCAGTGTGGTGGGTGGGTGAGTGAGTGACCTGCAGTGTGGTGGGTGGGTGAGTGACCTGCAGTGTGGTGGGTGGGTGGGTGAGTGAGTGACCTGCAGTGTGGTGGGTGGGTGAGTGAGTGACCTGCAGTGTGGTGGGTGGGTGGGTGAGTGTTGTTGGGACCTGGGGGTGGGGGGCGACATTCCGACTCTTTGCGACAGCGTCGCTAGTGAGCTCACTTCCTGCCGCTCCCTCGGCAGACGTAAAAACTCCGGCGCGCGCTTTTAGCGGCGAACCCCTCAGGGAGGGGGGGGGGCGGTGGGGGGGGGAGGCCGTTCACCGGCACCGGCAGGAACTACCGCCACGGCACGACGGTTCACCTCTCGGCCACGCGGCCCCCTGGCCCCCGCCCCACCACCCCCCCACCCATCGCCCGATAAACACCGACGTCATCGTCGTCGTCGTCGTCGTTGTCGTCGTCGTGCCACCGATCAATAAGCGTGTCACCGGGCGCCGGGCCTGCGCTGCGGAGTGGGCGGCGACGAGGTCCAGGTCGGGACGAGAATCGCCAAACCGTGCTGATCGGAGGCGCGATTAGCACGGTTTGGTTCTCGTAGGGTGCCAAAGAAGTTCGACGTACCTACACGCACACGTACCCACACACACGTACCAACACGCACGTACCCACACACACACGTACCCACACACACGCACGTACCCACACGCACACGTACCCACACGCACACGTACCCACACGCACACGTACCCACACACACACGTACCCACACGCACGTACCCACACGCACACGTACCCACACACACACGTACCCACACACACACGTACCCACACGCACGTACCCACACGCACGTACCCACACGCACGTACCCACACGCACGTACCCACACACGCACGTACCCACACGCACGTACCCACACACAACGTACCCACACACGCACGTACCCACACACGCACGTACCCACACGCACGTACCCACACACAACGTACCCACACACACGTACCCACACACAACGTACCCACACACACGTACGGGACCGTGAAGTCGGTGCCGCGTCTCAGGTCGGTACTGTTGTGGGCGTGCCCGTGCCCGTGCGTGCGTGCAGGAGGAGCGATGGCGGCCGAGTTGGAACCCACGCCCGAGCAGCTGGCGGCGATCGCGGTGGAGAACGAGGAGGATGACGCGCTGGACTACAAGCCGCCCGCCCAGAAGTCCATCCAGGAGCTGGTGGAGCTGGACAAGGACGACGAGAGCCTTCGCAAATACAAGGAGACGCTGCTGGGGGCCTCGCCCATCGTCGCCGGTACCCTGTCTCCGCGTGTCCCTGTCTCCGTATCCCTCTCAATCTCTCTGCCTCAGTGTCTCCGTTTGTTTGTTCGTGTCTCGGTGTCTCCCCGTCTCCGCAGCTCCCCTGTCTCCACGTATCTGTGTGCTCGTGTCTCCGCGTCTCATTGTCCCCCGTATGTCAGCGTCCCTCGCGCCTGCGAGTCTCCACATCTCACAGAACCAACCCCCCAGGTCGCCAGGAGCGCGAGTCCGGCACGACTTGCGCAATTTTAGACCTTGCTTCGGCTAAGCCTCGTCCTCGCTCCAATTCCCTACGGGACTGATGCAAGGTGAATTGCATAAATTCAGTGGGAACTTCAGGGGTGGTTGGGCACCATTTATGTATGTGCTCACACACCCGCAGAAAGATAAAGATCCCCCGTATAGCCGGAAGCAGAGTGTTGGGGCAAGTGCTGTTCGCGAGTAACACCCATGAAGGCCGGCACAGTACACACGAGGGGGTGGGTGGCCAGCACCACGCCCGGCCGCCTTTGTCTCCCTAGAGGCCGAGTCGACCTAGGGGAAGCCCAGGACCGGTTCAGGTAATTGTCACTGGTGTTGGTCGTGAGCGAGAATCGAACTCGGGTCGCCGGATTCGAAGTGAAGCGTGCTAAACCACTGCACCACCACCGCTTCCCACCGCACACCTCCGATTGGCACGGTTTGCTACGAACGGTACAAACAAAGTAAAAAATGCATACATATAGACGCACAGGCACACACGCACAGGCACACGGGCAGAAACCTACAACCACATGGTTCACAATCGCATACACTCTTTCCACACATACACTCACTGTCATAAATGGACAAAGTTCCGCCATATAGACTCTTAACAAACTGTTAGCGAGCACCTATTAAGGCTGGCATGGCACACGATCGTTGCACACAGTTATTCAAAACATACTCTTTCTCACACACCTGAATTACATTCCCACGCAAAGTAGCACACGCACACACTCGCACAAGTAAAAAACATTGATAACACAAATATTAAACTTACCGCAGCCCTGCTGAACAAACCAAGCGATGACGTTGTGGCAGCCATGTTGTACAGGGATTTCACGGCGGCCATGTTACATGGGGGTCATCTTCCTGGCAACTGATTGGTTGGTGTGTGGCGGGAGCGATGATGTAATCCCGAGCGGCCGATGATGCGCATCCGTTTTCGCAACGGCACTTGGACACTCTAGATTTGTCACTACGCAGTTTGGCAGTCTGATTGACACCCTGTCCCCGTGTCCCCCCCTGTTCCCCCCCCCATGCCCCTCCCACCCCCATGTCCGAATTGGCAGATCCCACGGTGGCGAACGTGCAGGTGACGCGACTCACTCTGCTGTGCGAGACGGCGCCCGGGCCTCTCACCATCGACCTCACCGGTAAGAGGCGCACCGCACACACTCGCCACCGCACTCGCCACTGCACTCACTCGCCATCGCCACCGCACTCACAACCTCACTCACTCGCCACCGCACTCACAATGACACTCACTCGCCACCGCACTCACAGCCTCACTCACTCGCCACCGCACTCACAATGACACTCACTCGCCACCGCACTCACTCGCCACCACAGTCACTCGCCACCACAGTCACTCGCCACCGCACTTGCCACCGCACTCACTCGCCACTGCACTCACCACTGCACTCGCCACCACGCTCACCACCATACTCACTCACCACTGCACTCGCCATCACACTCACCACCACACTCACCACTGTACTTGCCACCGCACTCGCCACCGCACTCGCCACTGCATTCTCTACCACACTCACTCACCACTGCACTCGCCATCACACTCACCATCACACTCACCACCGCACTCACCACCGCACTCGCCACTGCATTCTCTACCACACTCACTCGCCATCACACTCACCACCACACTCACCACTGTACTCGCCACCGCACTCGCCACCGCACTCGCCACTGCACTCACTCACCACTGCAATCACCACTGCACTCGCCACTGCACTCGCCACCACGCTCACCACCACACTCACTCACCACTGCACTCGCCATCACACTCACCACCACACTCACCACTGTACTTGCCACCGCACTCACCACCGCACTCGCCACTGCATTCTCTACCACACTCACTCGCCATCACACTCACTCACCACCACACTCACTTACCACCGTACTTGCCACCGCACTCGCCACAGCACTCGCCACCGTACTCGCTCGCCACTGCACTCACCACCGCAATCACCACCGCACTCGCCACCGCACTCACCTCTCGCACCACCGGACACGGCGCCTTCCCACATCACCCCAAAGCTTACGCCACACACATCACCGGCAATACAAATGCGACCGACAGAAAAGGAGAAACAATGCAAACTAAAGTCCTCAAAATGAGACGGCACCAACCTCGGTTCTTGGAGTGAATCGCGACACTGAACTGATCCTCATGGCGGTAGCCCGGGGTACCAAGTAATACAAAACGGCCGAGGCAATTCAATATTTTATTTCTGGGACAATATTTTTTCTCAAGGGGCGTAACTTAACTCCGCGACTGGGGTACCAATCAATCCGAAATCGGTGCCACACTCCGCGATGTCGAAACGCAGCGAGGACGATTGTGCTGAAAGCCTGAGCGCTCGCGTACGCACCACGGTGGTGGTGCATCGTGAGTACAGCTCGTCGAGATGAGTCGATTGACGCATCGCCGACCGTCGACGCAGACTGAACATGACCGCATCACGGACATCGTGCGAGAGCCGGGGTCCTATGGTACCCCGGGGAACCGCCATAAGGTTCAATTGCGACTTGTTATAGAATCACTGGGAGGGAGGGGGTGGGTGCGGAGGGGAGGGGGAGGAAATGTTACTCGGGTTGGGTGCCACGGTGGCTAGGAGATGTTAACTCCCTCGCCTGGTATACAAGAGGTCGTGCATTCGATCCCGACCCTGATGACTGCTGCTGTATATTTGGAGTCTGTGTGTCTCTCTCTCTCTCATCATCATCACGGTGGCTAGGAGATGTTAACTCCCTCGCCTGGTATACAAGAGGTCGTGCGTTCGATCCCGACCCTGATGACTGCTGCTGTATATTTGGAGTCTGTGTGTTCTCCCTATGGTCGCGTGGATTTTTCTCTGGGTCTCCTGGTTTTTTCCTCCACATTTAGAATCAGCATCATGGCGTTTAGAGTTTTTGGACTGCTATAAATGTCCACGTTATGATGATGATGATAAGCCACTTTGCTGAGCTACCATCACGTGCAGCGAGGTGGCTTCTTTAAAAATGGCTAGTACATAGCTCAGTGGGCCTTACCTGATAAAAATAAAAGTAGTTTTCATTGTTTTTAGCTTATACACAGTTGTTATTTTTTTTGTTCAAAACGATAAAACCAGTCATGACCGGTTTGCGGTTGCAACAAAAATATCAACGTTTGAATTTCAAATCGAGAACTGCCTCTGTGGCGTAGCAGCAGAGCACGCCGGCACAACTCCCAACCCAGGGGTCTCCGGTTAGATTCCATCTCCCGCACGACGAAACAGTGGGTCGCGTGCGGTGGGTTTTCGAAGCGTGGGTACGCCCGCCTCTTCCAAGACGGCGGGTCCGGTCAAGCGTGGAAGAGTAGACCAATTAGCCTCTACCGAGCTCCCTCTGCTGGAGCCGGGCGCCTACCGCCAACGGCGGCGTTGAGCCGAGCAATTCGGAATGGGGATACACAGGGTGTTTTAAAATTGGGGACCCGATTTCAAAGCAAAGCGATTTCAAATCAGGTCCATCTTTTTAAAACGCCCTGTATTCCTTCACACTAGAGGAGTCCGACGGGCTACGAAGCTTTGCTTCGTAGGGGGGGGTGGGGCCTCGCCTTCACCTCTTTTCAACTGAGAAAACCGAGGGCGAATGTAACCACGCGGTGACTTGGGCCACCGCCGCTGTTTGTCCGTGCGCGCCTGACGATCGGTGGCCATTCCGTGACCCGCATTCAATGCCGACTTTGATTTCACCGGCAACCGTTTCTGCTGAGCGGCCTTCTGGAGTTCGCGGTCGGCAGGTCGGCACCTCGAATCGGTGGGCGGCTGCCCTGCAGTGCAGCGGCACAGAGGCCAGAGTTCGCTATGGCCGGAGGTGGAATCACTTTTTAGTTACAATTATTTGTTTTATTTTACCAGGTAAGAACCCACTGACCTGTACTGTAGCGAAAAAAAAACCTCAGAAGCGACCTGTCCACACGCCGATGATGGCTCCAACGGAGTGGCTCATCGTCATGTGGAAATCTATAGTGGCAGCAGCCAAAATACACGAAACGCCTGATGTTGATTCTAAATGTGGAGGGAAAAAACGGAGGACCCGGATGAAAAATCTACGTGACCACGTGGAGAAGGAGACACGCAAACTCCAAATATACAGCAGCAGTTGTCAGGGTCGGAATCGATCTCACGACCTCCTGCATACCAGGCGAGGTAGTTAACATCTCGCCACCGTGGCACCCACTTGGTGGAGGTACCAGGCTCTGTGTACACGGCCAAAGCGAGTGGACTGAACGATCTAATTTTGGCATCTCGGTTGGTACCGACAAGGACAAATATTTGGTCTGGGCCCACGCTTACCAACCGATCGTGTGACCTCCCAAGCGATGGCTGTGCTCTGTATACATTTTCCCAAACGCTGCCTTCCACCGCCCCCCACTCTCCCACTGCGTATTTCCCCTCTCGACGTGTTTATTTTCTCTGCTCCGCGGACGCAACCGCGCCCGTCACGTGTCTCCGCGTCAACCGTCACGTGTCTCTGCGTCTCCCATCACACGTCTCCATGTCTCCGCGTCTCCCATCACACGTCTCCGTGTCTCCGCGTCTCCCATCACACGTCTCCGCGTCTCCCATCACACGTCTCCCATCACGCATCTCCCATCACACGTCTCCCATCACACATCTCCGCGTCTCCCATCACGCGTCTCCCATCACACGTCTCCCATCACACGTCTCCCATCACACGTCTCCCATCACACGTCTCCCATCACACGTCTCCGCGTTGCCGTCGTCTCCGCCGCCTGTGGGCTGCCTTCATCTCTATCGAGCGGCGTCAAGCGTGCGCGCACGCACGTAGATTACGTTTCGAAATCACGTCTCCAAAACGCCGCCGTCCGGAGGCGTGACGCCCGCGCGGGCGTGGTGCGAAAATCCACAGACCGGGGCACCTGGGGAAGGCAGTCGGCAGAAACGGGCAGCCCAGGCGCCCTCCGGTCCTATTTTGGGATGGTCGCCCGCGAATGTTTCGTCCGTCCACGAGCGGTTTTCACATGCGGGGCGGGGGGGGGGGTGGGGGGGGTGGGGGGGGAGGGTGACGATCAAATCCCGAGCGGGTGGTTAACGAACCCCACTTGCTGCTGTGCTGCCATCGTAACCCCGGCAAGCCCGGGCAACCTTGACTCGCGTAGCCGAGGGGAGGGCAGTTTTACGAGTTGGCGTGGGGTCCACCAACGCAGCATAGCCAGCGCCACAAAGGCAAAGATCCCCCCGTAGAAGCTCTCGCAGGCTGTTGCGGCAAGTGCTGTTTGCGAGCACCTAATGAAGGCCGGCAAGGCACACGAGGCGGAGGGTGGCCGGCACCACGCCCGGCCGTCTTTGTCTCCCCGGTGCTTGTCGTTGATCGGGACCGGTTCGGATAATCGTCGCACGTGTTGGTGGCTGCGAGTGGGAATCGAACCCGGGTCGCCGGGTTTGTAGCACGGCACGCTAACCGCTACACTACCGCTCCCCACACATACACACACCACACACCCGCCCACCGCCGCCTCCTCCCCATGCCGCTCTCCCTTCCCGTGGGTTCTCTCTCTCTCTGTGTGCGTTTGAATCGCGCTCTTTGTTCGGAGGGAGTTGCAAGGGTAGGCCGGCGGAGATCCTTGAACGCAGGACCGCTTTGAACCCCGACCTCCCCTGCGTTCTCACACACACAGAGCCCCTTGTGTGTTCACCCGGACTGTAGGACACCGTGAGCGCGGTGAAGATACCGGCGGCGTCGTCGTCGTCATCGTCATCGTCATTATCGTCGTCATTGTCATTATCGTCATCATTATCGTCATCGTCATCACCATTCGTCGTCATCTCTACCTGGCCAGATTGTTCAGCTGTAGAGCGAGCGGCTCGCAATCGGCAAATTGCGAGTTCGCACCCTGGTTGTGGGGGGGGGGGGGTGGCGGGGGTTGACCATCCCCACCCGCACTCCCCACTTTGCCAGCGCACGCACGTGGACGCACGCTGGGAATGTGCTCGCTGGCCCGCGTGCTGGCACGCATGCCGACGGCGGAAATTGCAACCGCCCCGAGCCCTCGCCTCTGTCGCCCCCTGGGAGCCCCTCCCCCCCCGGCAGCCTCGGGTTACGAGCTCGCATCCCCCGAACGATGGCGAGCGCCGCTGCGTGC